AAACCTCTGTGCCAATCCATTCAAATGCTGCATTAGATGGTCATCTAAGTGGAGTTTGTCCTATCAGGGTCACCCTAAGAGAGGTGAACTGTGTGCAAATTTAGCAGTGCATTTCTAGGGAGAACAGTCTGAACTTCAATTATAGATACTGAAATATAAGTTCTATTCTTTCTTTAACTGCAGACTGTTTGGGCTGCCTGGAGGAAGAGTTTATTTTTCAGCTTCTGAAAAACAACATTGGGATCTGGCTTATGAGCAAGAGTTCTTCTTTCCAACATGTTGACACTTTACTAGACAAACTAGATAACGTTTCTGACGATCCTGTTCCACCTCACCTTACAGCTCAAACTAGCATGATCAATACAGCTCTGTATATTTTCACATCAGGGAGTACAGGTGAAGTTGTACTATGAATTATAATATATATATTTTATAGATAGTTGTACTATTAATTATAATATATATGTGAAATTATAATAATATAAAATGTTCAAATGGTCCCACAGCTAGACATACAGATGCTGCATGAGCATTTGTTCACTTATGAACATGCCTTGGAGGCTTTTTTTTTCCTTTGGCATAAATTGCCATAATTCTACTGAAGTCAGTGCAGTTTTGCACATATACCATGCCACAATTTAGCTTCTTAAGTTACCAAGCTAACAACAGAGTGAGAGGGAATATGTAGAGTCCTATTTGACTGTATGTGCCCCAGTGGCACTTATCTAGATGCATAACTGCTGGTTTTGGCATTTACACACAGATGCACTTCTACATGATGTGGGAATGCACAAGCATCCACGCAGCTACTAAGCATGCACAGTTGGCTGCGCTCTGCTCACACAGCTCTGTAAATGCATACCTAGACAAGGTAAGGCCTGAAATTGTAGCCAAATAAAACAAAGACTAGTCAGTGTTAGACATAAGGAGGAAGAGAAAAATCCTTCCATATTTTAACCCAATATCCAAGAGAACAGAGAACTTGCATAGAAATGGGAGACCTAGGTTCTATACTCCCCAATACCTTAAGGGGAATTTGAACCTACCTGTCTCCTACTTCCTAAACTCTACTCACCTGATCACAGATTAGGAATTAGGCAGGTCCCTTCCTAGCCCTCCTCTTGAAGCTGGCCCCTTGGGCAGGGAAGAGAGGAAGATGCATGGAAGTAGAAGAAAGAAAACATACTAGAGGGTATGTGGCTCAGTGAGAATACTCTGAAAGAGAGAGGGCCCTGGATTCTAGCCTGGATCTTGCTCCCGGTGGGGCAGACAATTTAACATTGCACTCTACATTTTAGCTAATGGATATTAAATGCAAGGTGCAGTGGCTCAGCTTCAAGAAGCGTGTAAAGTGAAATAGTATTCTGCTCAAAGTCTTTGAAAGATACTTGGATTCCACAGTTATGTACAAAGTATAGTCACAAAGGCAGATCCACATGAAAAATGATGTAGTCTCTCTGGGTGCATCTACACATGCGTTTTACTGCAGAGTTGACTAATTAGCTCTGCTGTAAAGTGTCATTGTCTATATATGCACTGGTATTAGGATGCAGTAATTTAATTAACTTCATTGTAGGATAGTAATTACATGCGTGGAAATGCACATGTAGATGGTGACAGGGGCTGGCTGGGGCACAAGGGTGCTAAAGTGTGGGGGCTGCCTGCTGCATGGCTCTCCACTTTAGCACTCTCGTGCCCCACCCAGCCCCTTCACCGCATGATGCTGCCACTGGAGACTGGGCCTGGCCCCCTGTGTCTGCTGCCAACCAAGGGTTACTCTACCCTGGCTCAAACTGCTGTTGTTTCCAGTGCACATACAGATGCTATACCCAGCAGCATCTGATTCCAGCTGAAACAGCTCCAGAGTTTATTGAGTCAGCTTAACTGCATATGTAGATGTGCTCCCTCTGAGTAGTAGATAGAGGGGTAAATTGTTTCCCCTGTACTTAGCTGGAAATATGAAAATGGATGTTGGGGAACTCTACAAAAGAAAGGGGAAGAGGAATCCATTCTTCTCAAGTCGAGCTAAGCAATGTTGCTGAGGATACTCCATCCTAGCCATCCTAGTGTGTGTGGCTGCACATGGACTGTGTGACTAGGGACAGAAATCACAAATAAACCAGTGTAAGTGATCAGAAACTGGTTCAAATCTGTAACACAACAGAAGTTCAGTACACATAAACTGCTTTCAAAATGGCAGAAACCAGTTTAAGATAAACCTGGATGGATGTAGTATCAGACTTAACTGATTTAGGTTCAATTGGTTTATTGAACTTCTGCCCCAGATGCCATCCAGATTCAAGTTAACTCACAGTCCTCCAACAATGCAGGATGATTTGTACTTCTCCTGCAACCCCACCCTTGCAGGGTTGGTGGGCTAGCCTTGGCCCAAGCTGTCTGCTCCAGCTGAGCAGAGAGGTATGCTCTAGTGCCCCCTGGCTTTTGGCATGGGCCACTGCAGGCATGTTGCTGCATTTCTGGAATCAAGAGTGAATGTTTGTTCCCTTGCTTATTGGTTCAATCTACACAGTTTAAACTAATCTGCAACGATTGAATTGATTCAGCCTCGGGCTTTTTGACTGTCTGTACTTAGCCTACGTGGTGCAGGTAATGCACAAATCCTTAAAAGCCCCTTAAAATTTCCTTCTCTGTGGTGAGGAAGGCGCCATACACAGATGGAAAGATAGAATGGAAGAACCTTGAAGATCAGAGACAGACATGAGAAACCAAGAAGTGATGTTAACGAGTCCAACTGCTGAAAAAAAAAGAAAATAAAACTGAGGCTGTCATAGAAGACAGATTGTTTTCACCACAGATACCATGAATAATTCCATAGTCCATGTACTGAAATCATCAGAAAAAACAAGTAACTTATATTTTTCCTGTCTTCCCTATGTCAGGTTTTCCAAAAGCTGCTGTCATCAGTCATCTTAAAATACTATCTGTCTGTCTATTATTTGCTCAGTGCGGTGCAGCTTCTCAAGACATTATGTATATCACTCTTCCCTTGTACCACATAAGTGCTTCGCTCATTGGTATTGGTGGATGCATTGAATTAGGTAACATTTTTCTTTCGGGGAATTATATTAATGCAGTCAGTGATGAACTCAGACTGGGTTTTTTTTTTGTAAATCATTAAGGAAGGATTGGAGGGGAAGGAGAGGATAGCCTGAACTACAGTTACACTGTGTTTATAACTATGTCAGTCTTTGAAGTAAGTCAAAGTTCAAATCAAGAAGTTCTTCAGATAGATAAGTACTCATTCGATTTAATTAGTATGAAATATACTGCAGACAGGATTAAGTCCCAGATTATACTTATGCAATTCTATGGACATCATAATATTATGCACAGAAGTACCTAGATAAGAAAACAAAAATCAGAAATGGAAGAAACAAACCATGGATAAATCATGCAAAGCTGAAACTACTACATCATTTTGAAGTCTGCTGAACATCTTTTATAATTCCTTTTTAATAATGCATTTTCAAAAGTGTAATGTACTTGGTACATGGTAAAGTGCACATGTAGTTGTTAATTCTGCACACAATTAGTGTGTCCAGTTATGGCAGTTGTAAGCACTACTGTGTTTGCCAGCCAAAATGGCCACAGATCCAGATCCACGAATTCCAGGAATCTGATACAATGGTAATGACACTATTCTTTGGTTTCTTTTTAAACCTTTAAATATATTTAACTGTAAATTTAATAGTGTGCATATAGAAACCAGATTATCCCTTTATCTTTAGTGCATTTTTTCCTGCCTTTTTTGTTTGGATATTAAACTGACATCAGCCAGTCTTTTAACAATGCTGTCTGTCTTCCTCCAGCTTTAAGCAATAAACATTTTATACTTCCTCCAGTTTTAAACAATAAACATCTCCTAATATACTGTTCTGCATAGCTACCATTAATATAGTTATATAATATCACCCCTTTCAGGAAATATTAAATCGATTAAGACTTCTAAAATGTAGTTTTTATTACTTTGTCATTGCTATCACCTCCTGTAGTATGCAGCCAATATATGAGGCTGTATATGAGGCTATGTGTACCTATAACTTTTAAAGCTTGGGGGAGGCTCCACGGGGCCAATGTTTCAAGGCATAGAGAATGGGTAGCATTAATAAAACTGCAGACATAAACTTAGTAGTCATGTTGTACGCTATAGCAAAAGGCTGAAGCAGGTATACAGGGTATATAAAACACACGAGTCTGCTTGACTATCAGTGCTACAATACATGTATGAAGCTATTCTGAAAATCAGGTCAACACTCCAGTCAAACTGCAACTAAAGGAAAGACAGATACGGCTATGTATCCCCTGTAATTTCCATGATGACTCCTGGGGCTACTGGTATCTGTAAATTAGAAAGCAGGACTGCTAAAACATGGCCTCTTCATAAGGGGGCCGGAGGTTGCTAAATGTTAATTGCTAGTTTTGCTTTGACTTAAAAGCAACTTAATAGCACAGCATTTAAGTTAAGGCAGAATTTGGAATGTGCTTTTTTCTACAGAAAGCAGCACAGCTTTATAAGGAAAAAAAAGCATGAAGAATACCTGTGGTAAGGTTTCATAAGATTTTCTTTTTCTAAAATGCCAAAAATATCACCAAAGGCTTGCTTCTTTTGTTAGTTTACACCACTTTAATCTGTTATAAAACAATTGAAATTAATGAAGTTACACGGTGTAAAGCTGATAGGACAACAAAATCAGGTCCGTTCAGTACTATTTATTAATAATAATTATTCCTACCCATATTGCAGCCATGCAATAACCTCCAAAAGAGGAATGCCTCATTGTGTTAGGCCCATTTAACAACAAGACACCTTCCCAATTTATTTAGAATTAGTTATATTGAGCATCAGTTAGATTATTGAAGAAATGTTTAATTGGTAGTATTCAACACTGGCAGATAATAAAACAGGTCCTAATGGTAATTTTCAATTTATTCAATTCTCTCACTGTTTCCTCAACTAGGAGCAACTTGTGTTCTGAAGAAGAAATTTTCTGCCAGCCAGTTTTGGAGTGACTGTACAAAATACAATGTAACACTGTTCCTATACATAGGGGAAATTTGTCGTTACCTTTGTCACCAGCCCAAAGTAAGTTTTAGTTTGTAACTGCATTTTTTAAAATAATGTTATTCTTTTCTGTATGTAGTATAGATTGCTTATTTATATTATTTATTTTCTCATTTTCTCATTTTCTTGGCCCTGTGTTCATTTTTTACCATAGGCTTGGCTCTGCTTTCAGTTTTTCCATTGTACCATACCACCTGAACTCAGTGGGGTTACACTGCTGTGAAACTGGTGAGAGTGATTGGAGAATCATGTCAGACACTAACTTTAGCCCTTCTAAAGGACACCAGGCTGTTAAACTTTTACTCTGAATCATAATGTAAACAATAGACAGCTGGAAGGTTGGACAGTAGGCAAAAAGGACTATGAGAAGTATCAACAGGATTTGACTAAAACCCCCAAGAATGCAAGATGAAATGATTAACCTCATGCAATTCAGATGTTCCAGGCTCATAACTTATTAAGTGGATTTTCTTCTATACAGCAGTGAAATGCCAATAATTAATCTCCTTGTGGTTTTGAAATTGCTGAATTGGTTTTTATGATTTTTTTAAAAAGATTTGGGGAGGGGGAAAGACCAACAAGTATCATCAATGGCAAAACGGCCCCTTTTCCTTTCTATATATTAAAAAAAAATCCAAAACCCAAAACCCCCCCATAAACCAATCTTTATAAAGGCAAGATTCTGGCTATGCAATGCTAAGTCTTTTACTATGCTTCAGGTAATTGTGCTGAAGATGTGCTGAAAAACAAAGCAATATGCAACTATCAGGCTCAAATTGAGTCTGACTGCACAGTTCAGAGGATTAGGAACAAAGGAGCAATTAAGGTCAGCACATCAGCTAACTAGTACAAAGCCTGATTGCGTGGTCCAAAAAGTAGGAGAGGAGTCAAGGTGAAATGGGAGCAGTGACCAAGCCAAGATAGCCGCTGGCCCAAATTCAAACCAGAACAGATGACTCCTCGAAGTCCGACAGTCCAAGGATAAAGGAAATTAAGAGAATAATCAGCTAAGCTAGACTAGTGGAGCAGAAGGGTCTTACGGAGGAAAGAATAAAAAGAAAGTGTTTTAATCTGGCCCAACAATAAAAAAAGTCTACTAGAGAAAATTCTGAAGGGTGTCTGAAAGTTGGTGACTTAGAAGGCAAAGCAGAAAGATTGTGACTTAGCAAGCAAAAAATTGAAGTGTGCCAGGAAAGAGTGGATGAGTCCAGTAACATGCTTGAAGGTAATCATATTAGCAGTGCAAGCTTCAGACAAACTCACATGCTATGCAGAGGTGGTGGCACTGCATGGCTGGAGGCTGTGGTTGCAGCTGCAGCAGTGGCTGCACAGGCTGGGTTGGAAACAGCCTGTACTTGCAGCTAAGTTCTGGCCATTGTTGGCCTTTGGTTTCCAAATAGAAACCAGGGAAGGGTAGTAAACCATACAGTCAGGGCCCCAACTGGAAGCAGCACTAGTCTCCTTAAAGCTTATATGACATCCATGCCTATATGATAAGTACTATACTTTTGAAGCAACAAGGTATAAAGGAATGAGACAAAAAAAAAAAAGACTTAGGTAATGTTATTGAGTAAGCCATCCATTTTTAAGTCAAGGTAGGAAGGAGTTCAAACACCAATTAATTCAGGGAAGCTCTAAGACTTGTATTATATAGAAGAAGCAAAGTTTTTTTGTGATGTCTCTTGTTGGACAAAATGTATAGTTGGGGTAGATAATGGACACGTTTTCAGATTCACCTCAAAAAGGGTGCTGCATGCCGAAAAGCTTGTCCAACATCTCTCCCAACTGCACAATTGCTCCAATAACAGAAATCACAAGAAAACACCTGCCTCTTGTACATTTTCTGGATCACCATAGCTATTACAACAGCATTCCAACCCTTGGGAGCAGACAAAATGACCACAGTGGCCCCTTCTTGCCTTACAATCTATAAAACCTCAAAAATTTACTCTGTCAATCAGTTTCTGCTGTTACTGAACTGGCCTTTTTTGCACAAATGTTTTAGTAGAGTGTCACCATTGTGGAGCACGTGACAGAGAGGGGACAGCACTAATTCTGTGTATGCAGTAACTCATGATAGTCTGATCACCAAGTTCATAATTGTCTGAACACCTATACCTGAAGGGGCTAACAACCACAAGTGAAGGAGGGAAGAGAGGTGGCTGAGCACAGCAGGGAAACATACATTCCTAGCATTTGTTCTACATGAAAAGTAATATCTGCATCCCCACTACAGGGAATCCCACCAATAGCTCTGGGCAATCTTTTTAACTTGAAAAATACAGTACAGAAAAATACAGCTTTAGAATTTGCAAATTAGGGGTGAATTCACAATAGATTTGACTGGTAATATATCTTCTTTTAATTTAAGAAAGTCAAAACATTTTGTTTCAGTTTTTTAAAAGCAAAATATTTCAACATTTATTCTGAAACTATGCTTTATTTAAAAGTTATATTTGTAAATTTAATTAACTTGGTAAAATACTTGAAAATAAAACAAGATGCTTTGGTCTGAATGGAAAAAATATTTTGCTTAGTCTAAAATGAATATTTTTTCATGTTTTTGTTTTGGCCACTGAATTGAAAAAAAAGATTTAACATGTTCTACCCATGCTGCCCATGGCATAGATAGTCAGAGTGACCTTACGTGGTCAGAATCAAGGTCCACAATGAGATGCTTCTCATTTAGGACTTACCCCAGCATTAGGTAGGTCAATCCAGGAAAGTTCATGTTTAACATCAAGTATGTCAGTAGTATGCCAATAGTATTCTCACATGTTTTGAATAAGTAATTCCTGCCCCACACTGGCTCCCCTGGGTACCTTCCCTTTCCACCTTGCCTGCCACACTTTGATGGTACTTCTATGGTGTTTAGGGAGGATGCTCCAGGGTCCCAGACTGAGCCCCAGTTCACTTTAGCCAGCTGGTACTTCCCATAACCAGCTGGGTCGTCTTGCCCCTCGGACACAAAATTATGGTCCTTCTGACCCTATCAGTGCCTCAGGGTACTAGCTGCTTTATGGGCTATATTTGTGGCCCTGTAGCCATGGCCATGCCTCAAGGATGTTATTCAATATTCATTCAGAGGGAGCCCCCTGGCCCGAATGCAGCTTTTGACCCTCAGACCCTGAACCTTCCCAGCCTTGGCTTTTTTATTCTGGCTGTGCCCCTCAGCCCAGGTACATTGCCCCAGACCTTGCCTCCTGGGCCCCAGCCCTGTCTCTCACTTGCATGCTCGAGGCCCCTGACCCTGTACTGCATTCTCATGCTCCAAACCAGCCCGTAGCCCTCTGAACCCCTGACCTCAGGCCAGGTTGTCACTGAATGACCCACCAGGAACCTCTCTGTGGCCTTCACACCTCCCTCATACCCACAATCCAGTCCTATGGTTATCAAGCTAAAGCATAATATAAACCCAATCAAGCTGCTTCACAAGCTAAAAGTCTCCCCTACTCTGGATCAATGTCACCCTGCAAGCCATGCTTCCCTTTGAGCTCCCTCATCCTGGCTCTCTTGGGAGGCTTGGATTCCTGCCTCTCTGTCTTCTGCCACCCTTCTCTCCCAGGAGCACCTCTGCCTGCAGCATACAGGGCCAGACTGCCTCCCTTGCTTCAGTCACTAGGTTTATATGCCCCAAAGCCCCACCCCTTCCAGTCATGTGAGTCACACACAGTGATTTCCACTTGGGCTTGATGGCCAGGCTGCCCTCCTCTGCTGCTGTAAAAAAATGTTTTTATAATGTTCTATCATAAATTTCTGTACAATCGATACGTTCCTTTGAAACATTTCAGTTTTGGCAAATCAGTATCTTCCAATGAGAAACTGTTTCATCAGCAAATATTTGACCAATTCTGGCTTGTTTGGACCAGTCAACTATTTTAGAATGTTTCTTCTGTCCGCAGAATGAAGGTGAAAGAGACCACCTAGTGCGCATTGCTTTAGGGAATGGCCTAAGACCTGCAGTCTGGGAAGAATTTCTGATGAGATTTGGCCCTATTAGAATATTTGAATTCTATGGTGCCACAGAAGGAAACATTGGTTTTTTCAACTACATCAATAAAATAGGTGCTGTGGGCCGTGTTAGCATCTTCTTGAAGGTAAAGAAAGATTCCCTCTGAACCTGAAATGCACAACAGGGAGGAGAAGAGGCAGTCAACACATGTCTGGGCACGTTTACTATATGGCAATATTTGATTGATTTAAACAAAAATAAATAACCTTTCCCCTTCCTCCTCACTAAAACACATTCTAAGATAAATTCCCATTCACAGCAGTACAATTCCACTAAAATCATTAGGAATGCAATGGTGTAATGGAGAAAAATTGGCCAAAAATATACTATCCCACTGTATAAAAATTAGGGTTGCCAAACAATTAAAAAAAGTGATCATGTTTATTGCGTGATTGAAAAAATAGTTGCAATTAATTACAATTTTAATTGCACAGCCAAAAACTCAAAATTATGTGCAGAAAAACTCAAAGTTATGCAAAATTGTGCAGGTTCTTTGTATGGTTGCAGGGTGGGTGTGGGGTGTGTGTGTATGGGGGGAAATTGTGAAGGTGTGGGGTCTGGAGCCCAGGGAGGGGGGTTCCCACATACCCTGGCAGGATGTCGGGTACTGTGGGTCAGGAGTGAGGGGCAGAAGCAGGGCTGGGGGGCTGTGGCTTGAGAGCAAGGGGCAGACAGACAGACACCCGCACACACACAGACACCACCCAGCAGGTAAGTGTGTGTGGGAGGGTAGGGGCATGGGGGAGGGAAGGAGCATGGGGGGCAGACTGAGGCCCCTATGGTGAGGGAGGAAGTGGGACTGGGGTGAATGGGGCCCCCAGGCTGGGGCAGGTCATGGGATGGATCCACAGGTTCCAGGGGTGCAGGGAGGGCTCCTGTCACTACACACACTCCGGGGGTGGCACGGGGGGTACATGTCCTCCAGATCTGTGTGCGGGGTGGAGGTGGGCTCTGTGCCATGTGACACCATGCTGTATATCCCACCACTGGGTGGGCAGGGGAGGCGACACAGGCTGCACATGGCTCCTGGGGCAGACACAGTAGGGTGCAGAGCCCCAGTCCACAGTGGCAGCCTGCCTCTGCCCCACACACAAACCTGG